GAGGCATATTAACAAAATGACAAGCCTCCTGTGAGAAGCTGATGTTCCCAGATTAGTTCAAAATCATACAGCAAGTGCTAAAAAAATACATTATAACTGTTAGTGGTCAGTTTTGCAGTTGCATTTCTGGGGAATGTGAAGCTGTGTGCAGTCCTCAGTGAGCATGGAAATTCTAGTGGCCAGTAAAGCAAGCTGAAAACATTGCCTCAGGTTTCCCTTATTGTAAATCCCCGTGTTACAGTTTCTGACACCACCAAATTCCCTCCTGCTGACACCACTTTTCAGGGGAAACCTGTACATTGGAAGCACCTACCTGAGCCATTTTGGGTGACATTAATTTCCATTTTGGAGAATTAACTGCCATTACATGCACCAGGTGATCCAGGTTTCACAGAAATATGAAAATACGAAAGTACTGCTTTATGGTAACAAAAATATACATTATCCAATTTGTAACAGGTTTTGATATGGGATTCATCCATTTATTCAAATTGCATTTAGAAAAGTATTTTGCTTCATCTCCCAGTTAAGTAAATAGACAAGGTCTTTGGAGCAAGGTCATAATGGTAGGTGCTCTGAAATCCTGGGTTCCCCCTCTGGTTCTAAAGGAAACCTAGATGCTGCAAATCAGGTGATGTGATCAGCTTCTTGAGGATCATCTTTAGTTTTAAGAATGTAAATTAATTTGAAATAAATGCTTCATAATAATTTGAAGGATTTTAAATCACAAAGATTGAAAAGCTATTGCTGGCAGAGGTGGTCAGTATTCTGAAATATGTAAGGCATTATTTTGTAATAATCCCTTTTCTTCATAATATTTGATGTGGGAAGGGCTGCACTTTGAATTGAAAAAAGTGTTGTAATCTGGATTCTTTCACAAATTTCATCATTCTAAATCTCATGGGATAGGGTCAGTAGAAAGAACTGATAGAGTTCTACTTTTTTAATTTTTAAAAAATTTTTAACTTATACATTTGCTAATTGAACAGTTACAGATTTAAGATATATTCCTTGTACAAATTCCTTCTTTTTCCTTCATCTTTTCTCAGGGTCATTCATAGATTTATACCTCTTTACTCTTCTGGAGTTCATTGCATAGTGCTCCAGCTTGCAAAAAAACCTGTACATGATATATCTTTAGGAAGCATGAATTAATTTAGGTTGTGCTCCTAGATGACCACATTAAAGAGAGTGCTGAGCTTAGGTAATAATTGCTGTCTTAAGGCTGTGTCTTAACAAATAAGTCCAGCTCTGTGATATTGCAAGTTACCCAGCATGTGGCCTAGATGGTAGCAAAGGAATCCTGTATCTTGATTGCAAAATGTTGTCCTGTCTCTCTTAGAACATAAATTTATTCCTCACTTTGGATAGCTTGGTTGCAAATTATATGGGGCATTGCTAACTGCTCTGTTTTTCTCAGCAGTTTAGGTGACCTTTTGCAGTTTCCAAGAATGAGGTAATTATATATTTTAAAGACTGACATCTTGAAACTTACTTGATATTAGCAGTAAAGAACAGAGTGAACACAAGACAAATTCAAGGTGCTCTTAATGGCATGATACAATTCCCTGAGGGCTGGCGGTTTCACGTGCAGGAATCTTAGATTGTTGCTCAGGTATGAAAGTGAGTGCAAGAGCAAGCTAAAATCCAGGGCCAGCCCAGTGGATGCCAGCATAGTGACTGGTGGGTTGTGTGGGAGTGAAGGGGGTTGTGACTCCAATATTTCTCCTTTGCAAATTCCCTTGACTTGACTAATTGTGGATCCTTGCCTCTAAAGGAGGGAGAATGTTCTGAGTTAACGTCGTGTGCTGTGTGCCTCAGATTGAAATAGCAGATAATCTAAGACCTATTAAAAGTATGTTTGTCCTTATGTACCCAGAAGCAAGAAAAAAAAATTAAAAGGCAAAATCAATGGATAAATCAGTAAGTTATTTGTACCCTAGAGGCTGTTGTTTCTGAAGCGTGTACCTTCATGAGTTATAAAGCAGATATTAGCCTCAGAATTATTCCTTACTGTTCAGTGGTTTTCCCAAAATTTAATGATGACTAATTTCTGTGAAGGTACTGCTTTTCTCCTTTTGCTGTGCTTCACTGATGGCTGAGTATAATTTTCATGGATAAGGGAGAGGGGTAAGAATCTCAGCATAACACCAGGAAACAGACTCCCAAATGCAAGCTGTGTTCAGTTAATAGTTTACAGGTCTTTTCAGTTATGGTTCATATATTCCTCTTTTATTACTAATTATCCATGATAATTCAGTTCAAAATTTTCCATTTAGAAAGAGTAAATGAACATAAGCACATTCTAAAACTTAGAACATATGCACTCTAAAACATAGATATTGGCTTTATTCAAGTTTCCCCACAAAGTATGTAATAAAACAGTCATTTGCTTCTCAGTAGCTACAAAGTTTATTGTGGAATATGGAAGCACAAAATTGTCATTTAAAACATTTAGGGAGTCCAAGAATGTTTTAATATTGGTGGCATAAAATTGACAATATTTGTCACTGTTACTAAATTGTTCTAACAATATTTCCCTCATACATTATATATTAAGTTAATTAAAGAGCTGGTGACAAGTTATTGAGAAAACCATTTCACTTTGTCCATTATGTTCTTAAACCATATTTATTAGAAATTATTATTTTTGAGTTGGCAAATGACTTCAAATCATAGTAAGCTGTTTTAGACTTCAAGGAAAACCAAGCTTTCCTTTAGTCTGCTGAGTTTTTTAACATATCTATCAACTGCCGATTTAACATTCAGTTAATCAGTTTCATTAAGGTTGGACAGTTTGATTTGTCCATAAACAATAAATTCTCTTTGTGCATTTATTCACCTTGTCCTGGAACCTGCTCTTGTTCAGCAGCCAATTTAAGATCTTCTCATGTTCTTTGTTGCTGTATTTACTTTTATTGTCACCAAGCAGATTTAGCTCTAATAAGAGACCATTTGTCCCTTTTTTATTTATTGCATCCTCTGGCAATGTTGAGTTCATTTTGGTCTAATCCAGAAAGGTTGCCCCTGTAACATCTTCAAATGAAGCATGAGGTATCCAAAATCCCCCTTGCCACAGAAAGTGGTCGATGCTTCATGAGACCAGGTATCTCTAAGGAACCTCCCAGGCTCCCGGCTTCTTCCTCCTCATCCTAAAGAGAGAAAGCCACCCCATAGGGGGTTGCTTGCATGTTCTTATTCTCCAATATTGTTCTAAACTCCTTTACACAGTCTGTGAAATCTCAGGGGTAGTAGATGTATTTGATAAATGGAAATGTGGAACGTTACTATCTAATATTACAGTTTAGCCCAATGCTATTCACTTCTGATGTCTTCAGTTGAAGAACACATCATCTCTGTCACTGTAGCAGAGTAGCATTTCTGCTGTCAGCAATCCACAGTGAGGTTGATCTGTTGTCTTTGGAGAAACAGCTCTCATGGGAACAGCATTACCTGTATTCAATTCTGAAATAAAATGAAGAAATAGGCTTATTTATTAACTTTTAGGATACATTTTATTGTAGTAGAATAATTCTGACAAGTCTTATGATGAAATTTGCATTGTGGATAATGATATAATTGGAATGAACACAATTCTTACTGAAAAATGTCACTCTATCAATCACTTCCTTTTCTTTTATCTTTAAACATCATTTTTCAATAGCAACATTCTCTTGTGGTGGGGTATGTCATCTTAGATTGTGTAAGTGCTAATGCTTTTATTTCCAACAGTAGCACAGCTCTGCAGTTCATCTGCTGTGCTTTCCCTTACTGAGTGGGCTTCACGGGTGTTCAAACTGGATCTCAGAGGAAATTAATCCAGAAGCTCTATCCTAAGTATTTAGTAAGCATTTTCTAACCCCCAACAGGGATGTAAAGTACCAGTGATGGGTTCCCTGAACAGCTCCAAACTACACTGCATGGTTGGAACACTGGATCAGGGCCAGATGTGATCCAGCCCTGAATGGTGCAGATCTGTAGACGAAGAAGCCTCAGCACAAAGTGCTTGGTTTTGCTGAGCTGTTGCTTTTTCTCCAAATTGCTTTTTAATGTAGGGCTTAACCTTAGAAACAGAGAAGAAAGTTTTAGCTTCTGTCGCTATGGTTTTGTATGCAGCACTTCAGTGGTATTTTAGCTTGGGTGTGTAATTTATTGCACAATTAAAAGTATTGACAAAACACTTGTGTGCGCCTTTGGTATTGGGGAGCTCATTTCAGCAGCTCTTGTATTATGGAAGACTCAAAGAGCAGCAATTTGAGAAAACACTAATAAACATTAAAACCCTGGGAAGTGGTTGCATCGTGACAGGCTTCTTGGACCAAGCTAAAATGTGATTTGAAGCAAGAATATTTGCTGCAGACGTCAATTGGATTTAAAACTAATATTGTCTTTCATTTTTATCAGAAAAATCTTCAGTCAGGAAAAATATGTAAGTTGGGTTTTTTTTTTTCATCAAATTGAACAGGCTCAAAGGTTTTCCTGGTTTTGATCTGTTATGATATTGGTTTGCCTATCTTATATAGCCTCATGAATTCCATGAATGTTACTACTCCTCAGCCCCAAGGACAAACTGAAAAGATGTTAAATTATGAAGTGTCTGACCTTGGTTATATTTTCTGTACATGAACAGAAGTGTTAAGACAGTGACAAAGGGTTTAGTAGAAGAAGAAATCTAACGCTTCTTTATAATAGCAGAATGGCTGTGCAAAAAGGCATTTAAGTAATCAGGGCCACACAAGCTAATTTGCAACTCATAGTATAAATTATGTGTAGATTCTTTCAGATTGTTGGAATTAACTCCAGGGATATTTTTAGAGCAACTTTGTTTGGTTTAATGAAAACAATTATTAAATAATTAGTCAATGAAAATAGTTATTTCATCTTGTTTGTATGCAAATTATCATATTCATATATCATCACCATTATCCTCTAAATAATGTGCCTGTTCAAGATTGCATCTGTTTGGTCAGAATGCTCAGGTTTCTCTGCTTTTTTTGCAGGTTGTATATAAAAATAACGATGTCAGGTTGGAGCTGTCTCGACTTGCCAAGCAAGGGGATCCTAAAATGAAGATTCATGGGGTTGTAGCATTTAAATGTGAGAATGTTGCAACCTTAGATCCAATCACATTTGAAACACCAGAGTCTTTCATCTCTCTGCCAAAGTGGAATGCCAAGAAAACAGGCTCAATATCATTTGACTTTCGCACAACTGAGCCAAATGGCCTGATTCTTTTCAGTCATGGGAAACCAAGGCACCAAAAAGATGCCAAACATCCACAGATGGTGAAGGTTGATTTTTTTGCTATTGAGATGCTTGATGGCCACCTCTACCTACTATTAGACATGGGATCAGGTACTATAAAAATAAAAGCCTTGCAGAAGAAGGTGAATGATGGTGAATGGTACCATGTGGATTTTCAGCGGGATGGGCGGTCAGGTAAGTTCTTTTTGTCTGCATTCAGAATAGCTTTTTCTGCTGTATCTGGAAGAATACTGGGGACATATTGATGCTGCCACAATTAGAGATGGGCATCATCTGAAAAATAAGGAAATTATAAGTCATTACTTTCAGGTGCCAGAGTACAATAATTTGCTGAGTAAAATATATTATATTTACATTATTGGATAATCAAGTACTTAATCTTGCAAGTAAGTGTGTTGTGTGCTTGAAAAACAACAGTAATCTCTCTCTGTGCTTGCTTACATCAAATAGCTGAAGTAGCAAGTTTGAAGAGTTGAAATAAAGCAAAAAAGCAATTACTGATAATCTCCAACACGGGGAGTAGCTGCCCCACAGAAACAACACAGATATTCCAATCATGTCAGCAGATCTCAGTGTACTTAAATGATATGCTAATAAATTACAAGCAACACATGTCAGCAGAAATGGAAATAATTGACTTGCCTCATTCTATCAGTTTGATTCATATTCTGGAGTAGTTTAGTCAAAAAGTGATCTCACTGAGAAGTGGTAAAAATAAAGAATTCATGAACTCTTCCTCATGCTACTGAAATGTAATATGGCTTAAAGTGCATTTATCCAGTGAAATTATGTATCAATGTGTATCAGCTCATCTCATCTGGAGTATATAACTTGTCGTAAGCAAATAACAAATATACATCAATTTAAGGACAGCTCTCCTCTACAGTGACTTTACTGTACTTCATACCATGATTTGGGGAGGAAGGGGGCAGGGAATGTAATGAGTCTGTAATTCAGACCTGAAGATTTTCTGATTAATATCAATATTCAGCCTGAAGTTTATGTAGGCTCTAAAATTGGGTGTTGACAGACTTAACTACACTTCCTTTGGATTTTGTGCGACTTCCCCCCACTTTCTTCCTTCTGGTGACTACCTTTCCATAGCTTGCATTTATAATTTCTTTATGAAACTTAACCCCCAAAAAAGTTATTATCTTATGATTTAAGGTCTTACTACACACAAATCATATTTCAGATAAAGCAAATCTTAGGTGCTGGTTTAAATTGAAGATTTTTGGTCAAATCCATGCTGAAATCCACCTGCATTATGATTATGAAAAATAATTATTTGATTCCTGGGCAGTGCAGTTCTAATGGTACAGACCTTGATTTTCTTATTAGGTCAGTTGCTAATTTAAATTTCTCAAGGTTAAATAAACCTACCAGACAAGAACAAACAAAACCCAACCAAACAAAAAAAACCAAAAAACAAACAAACAAAAAAAAAAAAAAAACAAGCCCAATTGAACAATAAAACACAACTTCTCAAAATCCTCAACTGGAATTGAATATCCAGCAGTTATATTATTTATACTACAGTTTTCATTTCAGACTTTCTTCTTAAGTGCTGTTTCAGTGATTCATATGAGGCAGTAAATCCTGTAATAATCATGCCTGTGGGACTGCTGAAAGCAAAGTTTATTCTTACATCCAAAGCCAACACATCTATAAAGGAATGAAATAAATGCACAGCAATTGTTTACATTTGAAGATAAGTTCTGCCCTTTCATTGCTTCACAAAACATTTGACTCACGGGTGCCATTAAGAGAGTTTAGGGCAAACTTTAATTCTTTAAAACTGTTAATGGACATCAGCAAGAATTAAGAGCAATTTCAGGAAGCAAAACTGGCATGGTGAATCAGGATTGCTTACTATTTTTTAAGTAGAATTATAAATAATCAAATTAATCTGTCTGATGATTTGCCTATGACCAAGATAGGTGAAATTTATGCAACTCCCCTGGCACTGTTGAAAACTAATCATAATACCTATTAACTCTGAGACATTGAACTATTACCATGAACACTGAATAAAAATTTGCAGGCTTAAGGATTGGCAAATTGAATTTTAACTGCAATCTGAAATAGAATCAAATTTTTTCTGTTATTCTAGAACATACAATAATAATTTATGGTAGGAGAAGTACCAATAACACTGGCAATGCTTTTGTTTGTCTTAATGGTGGTAAGATCTGGTTATTAAAATTATTAGAGAGATAACCATGCCTGAATTAAGGTGAAAATGAGACTGTGCACCAAAATGAAAAACACATATTTTATGTAACAATAAATGTGATATAGAGGGAAGTAGAAATAGTAAAAAGGAGTGGGGGGGCACACTCAATTCTGACTGGGCCCTGGCATCCCTAACATTATCCCCATCACCCTGACAATTTTACTATATTCCACCAAAGCCACCTGTCCTCGTTTCTACCTTCTGAAAGCTCTTTTTTTTTTTTTTTTTTTTTTTTTTTTTTTTGCTCTGAGTTTGCTCAGCAGCTCCTTATCCATCCATGGAAGCCTGCTGGCATTTTGCCCCATTGCACTGGGATGCATCGTGTCTGACCTTGGAGAAAGTGTTCCTTGAACACCAGCCAGCATCCTTGGGCCCTCTGCCCTCCAGGGCTCTTTCCCTTTGGGCTCCCCTCAATAGTGCCTTGAAAAGGCCAAAGTCTGCTCTCCTGAAGTCCAGGGCAGTGACTTTGCTGTGTGCCCTCCTCACTCTCCTGAGTACCTCATCCCCCTCCACGTCATGGTCAAGTTATGCATTGTTTTACCCATAATGAATAAAATTCACTTTATGATTTCGGGATGTTTTTTGTTTTCTTTTCTCTAGCCCAGACCAAACATACTAAAAATCACATGAATATGATTACTTTTCACTAGCTTTCCTTCAGAATTTTTATATAACTGAATGAATATTCCTTGTATAGAAAAAAAAGTCTTTTCTGAGACTTTCTTGTTGCCATTGACAGCATATTTCCCTAGCTATCAATCATAAAGAGATTCTTCTGTTAATGAATAAGTAGCTCAAATAAGCTGTGATTCTTTTCTTCTTTAAATTAAGTTTGGTGTCTTTCAACCTTTTGCTCCTAGACTTCAAATCCAATGCAGAGTGGTTCTCTCCTATAGAAGAATGTTGTGACATTTCTCAAGGAGCTTTGCTAATTTCATTGACTTTCATATTAGCTGGATCAGCATGTACTAGATTTATTTCTCATTCTTTGCTCTCTTCCAGACCCTCAGTCGCAGCGAGCATCCACTCTAAGCTACTGACTTTACCTTTGCTTCTCTGGGACTGTGGTGGAGGAGAGAGGGAGGTGTAAGGAATCTGAATACATTTTTAAATTGTAATCAGCCAGGCGCCACTCACTAGTAATTCTGTCAATCCACTCAGATTTTGAAAGATACAAGGAAGAGGGAAGATATGGTGCCTTTTAATTTCCTTTTGCTGAAAGCTTTGACCTGTTATTCTTGTTTTCACCCTAGAATCCCATTCTGTTTCCTGTAGGACTTACTCTGAGTGCTTTCTCACCTAAAAAAAGATCACTGGTGGGCCAGAGTTCCTGAGACCATATTTAGTTAACATTTAAGGGTTAGGCATAAGAAATATTCATAAGATATTCTCCCCTGGTCCATCCTTCTTGCTAGGTGTGCAGCAGTGCTACCAGCTATGTGTCCTGAGTTTTCCCCCAGTACTCCTGAGCTGTACATCCTGAATTTCTGGGAAGGACCACAGCTTCATAGCTGCCTCTCTTGTGCCCTGTCTTGGCCACGGGCATGCAGCCACAGTCCTTATCACAGCTATTATATTGTGTTTTAACACAGAGGATGTATTTGGAATTAATACCATGCTCTGATTTTTCAACATTTCTTAATAAGCAGATGTTTTTCACACACACAAAAAGCAGCTAAAATAGGCCGTGCCAGGCAAGCAGAGAGATCAGAACAGTTGCAGTAGCTGCACTTAAAATCTTCATATTTAACTGATCAGGAAAGAGACGAGATTTAGAAATGTGATTTTTGTTTCTTATGCACAGTTTTAGGAAAAAGTAAATTGCTGAGATAATGAATATGATTGGAGAGGCTCATTAAGTGATACCTAAGGGAGATGTTTGCCTGTTCTGCTCTTAACAGTACTGCAGACTCTGCAGAAAAAGAGAATTAGGAAAAAAATCCACAATCCCAAACTAAATAAAAAACAACTGTGAAGCAGCTGTAAAGGTCTTTGCTCACAGTGTTTCTTGTAACACAGTAGGAATAGGTTTAAAACTGTTGTCTGAGAGTTAAGTATTCTTTAATTATTTTGTTAAACTGTTTGCCATATGCAAGGATAATCTTTTTTTTTTTTTTTTTTGTTGCTAAACCACCATTCATCCTTTGGAAGCCACCATTACATAGTGAATTCAGGGAGGGAACTTACTCTTCTTGTCAACCTCCAATTGTGCAGGGCAGCATAAAGTACAATGTATCAGCATCTATTCATAGGTAGCATTTAAGGGCTGAGTCACTGAAATTTTGAACTAAAGTTAGTTTCAGGTTGAACTCCAGAAATGATTTCTGGAGTATGTAATCAGAGCTTAACTATAATCAACATCTCACTGTAAGTAGTGCTTTGTGTTGTCTATTACATGTGGTGTTGTTGCAGGTTCTTTTTTTTTCACATGTACTCTTCTACATATTGCTTCCCACATCTTTTTAACCTTTTAATAACAGCCAGATTTACGTGTTCCTTTTTCAACAGATGTTAATAGTTTTCATACGTGGGAGGATGGGTTTATATTGCATTTTAACGAAGATTCTTTCAATGATCTGCAGCTTCCTTGGCTGATCTACATCTTTCTCAGAATCCAAGATAAAACTTAACCAACACTCAGCCAAGTGGCACAATAGGCTTCTGTATAATCCCTAATATATTTCCCTTTTTGCTCACGTGTGTTATTGTGTTATTCTTGACTGATATTGTTGACTCGTCCTTTGAAGGACTTCGCACTAATCAGTTATCCTTTTAAGTCAATAATTCCTGCTGAAAACCATAACTTCATTAGTTTTTCTCAATCTGCTTTTCCAATGCAGCAAAAAGTTTCTGAGTGTTAAATTGCACTGTGTTCTCAGGTGAAATGCTGCAGAATCTTGTTTTTAGAATCTGAAGCCAGATCATGAATTCCCAGACTAAATAAGTCACCCTACACCTTCTTGTCTTTGTCATTCCCTTTTACTTCTTTCAAGCAGGACAAATCACGTGCTGTCAGCCTTCTTCCATTGTTTTCTTATTGTGATAGAAATACAAAAATTATTTCCTACTTTGAGTCTTAAAAAACTTTGAATGGAAGCTGCTTGTTTCCTGGAACACATTATGGCTCTTTTCAAAGAAGTGGTATCACTGCTTATCTGGTTCTGAGTGCTGTTATGAAAAGAAGGAAGTTTAAGGATGGCTCTTACTCCAGAGATGTTACAATTTCAAGTTATAGTTTTCACTCTCGCTCGAGCACCCAGTGCTCGTCTGAATCTGCTGCTTCGACATAAAATCTGTTTTCTCTAGGTTATTTTGTTGAACAAGAAATGTCCCATTACTTCCTCCTGTAAAATATGACAATTCTGTCTTGAGAATGACATTTTAGTATCTCTACAAGGAAATTTATTAACCCTTTTTGTGCTGGCCACATAAGACATTTGCATGCTCTCTTAGCTTCCCCTTCTTCTTCTATGGAAAGTGATGTCCCTTCATGTTCATAAGCAGAAACATCTGATTGGATTGGAGCACACTGGTTTTCCATCAAAGCAATTTCTTTTAATCTGCCTATAATTCCCAGAGAAAGTAGAATTGAAGTCTATGAAAGGATGTGTGCATCACAGTCCTCAATTTCTGTGGCAGCCTCTCTCATTGTTAGGAGATCCAGCTTGAGACATTTTCAGTAGAACTCAGAAAGTTTCCCTCCAGAAAGATAACAGGCTTTTAAAAAAACCCAAAAAACCAAATCAAATGCTAACAAACCACAGGAAAACAAACAAACCCAAACCCCTGAAATAAATTTTAAAAACTATTATAATAAAATATCAATAAAATTCACACCCCACCAAACAAAAAAAACCCAAAAAAAGCATAAAGAAACCCTCACCAACATGAAACAGCATGTGCTACCACCTCTGTCCAGCTCTGAGTGCACTGGGAATCCAAAGGTGCTGATGGAACCATTGTTTATTTTCTGTAGGCCAACTTTCTATGAACTTGAGTTCTGCATTTTGTTGTAGAATTCTTAAAAGGCTCTGTAATTTTTGCTGTATTTTGGAATATTTTTCTGTTCCCTTATTTTACTTGGATTTTCCTTTTTTCATCTGTGTTTACAAAGCATTTAGTGAGTAAAGTTTGTTGTCTGTCAGAGATACATAAAAGGTGATTTGCATATCATCAGCAGTGATGGCTGTGTCGTTGCCTGTCATGTTTTTCTACCCATAGTCATTAAATGCCATGATTGCAAGGTTTCAGATAAAGTTTCAGAGGACTTCTCACACAGAGTATTTTATGGGGTTTCGTGTCTTTTACCTGGGAAGGTAAGAAGTTCATGTCTTTAAGAAGCTATTGACATCGATTCAAAATAATACTTAAGCTCACTTCAGGGTAATCCTTTATGACACAGAGAAGAAAAATTTCCTGCTTCAATCTATCACTTTACTGTAACTCACAGTCACCAGTTTCCCTTATCATTCACCTTCTGTGCTTGCAAAGCTTTCACTTGGAACACAGAGTAGCAGCTACACTAGCAGAGATTTATCTTTTTCTGTGAGCTGAAGGGTAATCAAGACATAGTAGATTTTTTTTTTTAATAGAAAAAAAGAGTTTTGGGGATTCTTTGTTCATGTGTTGAAAATATGGCTGTTTTTGTCCAGCAGAAAGCAGCACTGTTCACATGCTGGAGCTTGCTGTTGGAGGCTGCAGCTGAGTTAACGTGTGTGGGTGCACAAGTGGGTGCTGCCTGAACATGGGTTTAGAGTGTTTGCTCCTAAATTAGCCTGTGCATCAACAGATGGCAGCAAGCAACAATAGCAGTAAAAAACACTGTGAGGACAAGTACAATTTATATTTACAGTCTCTAATGTTTTTAGAGACAAAAAGATTTGTTGGCTGTTAGCCATCCTTCCTGATACCCTAGGATGCTCTCTGAAAAGTCTCTCTTGGTTTGACAGGTCATTCACAGGTGTCCTTGTTTGACTCAGCTGATTAATCAAATCTCAAAATGTTTATGCTTGCATGCCTAAGATCAAACCTATAGCAAGCATTCCATGTGAGTGACAAGTTCTGCTTCTAGAAGCTGAGAAGCAACAACAAATTTTTAGAGTTAGCAAACCCTAATCTCTTATCAGTTTTAAACAGATGGAAGTTTGGAAGAAAAAGTATCTTGTTTCAGCATGCCTATTTCTTACTTACTTTCTTGGAAGTTCACTTTTATATCTATGGGATTATTCAACTGACACAGAAAACATTTCTTAGAAAACATAAAAGGGAAAACTGACCACATCTTCACTCTTTAAACATGCTTATAAAGATGTAAAAATGCTATGCAAGCCTTTGTTTTATCTTGTTAGTTCTCTTCTGATAGCAGGGAGACTGTGGTATCCACCCCTTCTAAAATCCACGTCTCAAGTCTCACATGGGAGTTGGATTTCCTGAGACCTTTACCCCAAACAGCTTTTACTAACGATCCAAATTTTTTAGATATTCATTCTGCCAATGTTGTTGAAGTTAACCTACTGAACCAACAAAAGAACAGAAAAAAGAGAAGCCTAAATTTTAGGCTCTACCCAAGTACGAGAATGATCTTTTTCTGACCTGCCTTTGTTTGCTTAAAACTCACATTTTAGTGCGTATGCTGTGTAAAGTGTGAATTTCTTCTTATGCACAACTCCTACCACAGTGGAAGCATTTTTGGTAATCAGTGTTATCTTCTGGAATGTTTTTCAGGCTAACAGTGGAGATGGTGAATCATATTCACTTTGTATATATATGTATGCTAAATTCATCATGGTGAACGCAATTCTTCAGTGTCTTGTCACCACTAAAACACTTTCAATGTCGTACCCAGCAGATAACAGTCTTGCATGATATGACTGGTCATTAGTTTTGTGACCTGTATAATATTTTGATTTATATTTTGTTTGCTTTTGTACCCACATAGAATGATAAGGAATCACTTCTGTGAAGATCTACGTGAAGATTTTTTTTGCCAAGCGATTTTACTTAGAAATAAAATTAAAATTGGTTGGCATAAGTATGCTCTGTGACTGTATTTTCTAAATGTGTTTTTCTTCTTATTCAAATTGTAGGTGTTGCATACCTCATTATTTTAAACAAAGTATCACCAAAAAAAGGTTCTTTGCTGATGATTACATTTTCTTTGTTTAGACACTTCATAAAAAGAACTCTATTTTAGGTTCAATTTTGTTTGTAAAATTTTTAGACTAAAATGGAAAAGATATTTCTGGTTTCCTGAAGGTCTGTATGCATCTTCTCTCCCTCTCATCGTAACATGCACACATTTTGAGATAAGTGTCAGAGGCATTGATTTTCCCTCCAGGACCATATCACTTCCTTCTTAATGATTGCCTGCCTGGCAGCAGATGAGAGCATTTTCCTTCTGCATTTAAAGAAAAAAAAAGTCTTACCCAAAGCCCACTGAAAATGGTCAAAGTCTTTTAAAGTGCTGTGTCTTTGGGCCCAAACCAAACCCTCAGGTTTGCCTCCCAGGTTGTAACCTATCAATGCAACCCTGGCCTTAAAGCTTTGAAATACGTATGAGGGAGTGAAGATATTTTTGTTGTTGTTGTTGCTGCACGAAGAGGATATTTCTGAAAATAACTATGAACTGCATTACTCCTGTACCTAGGAGATAAAATCCCCTTACTTTTCGTATTGTGCCCATGCAGTGTTGTGCATAAAGGATTTTTAGATCATTAACTTCCTGACTACACTGCAATGGAAATGCTGAAGTGTATCTGTGATTCTATAGCTGTACAAGTAAAATACCTCTGCTTCACTTCCAGCTGTTTGCCAGGAGCTAATGTGTCATGTAGATGATGGAGTAAAAAAAGCAGTACCAAAATCAAATATCTTGCAAATCACCCGTTGAATTGTCTTTCCAGGGACGATATCTGTGAACACGTTACGTACTCCATACACTGCACCAGGGGAAAGTGAAATCCTTGACTTGGATGATGACTTGTATCTTGGAGGCTTACCAGAAAATAAAGCAGGCCTGGTCTTCCCAACAGAAGTGTGGACAGCACTCCTCAATTATGGATACGTCGGCTGCATTCGGGATTTATTTATTGATGGTCAAAGCAAAGATATTCGACAGATGGCTGAAATTCAAAGCACAGCTGGAGTAAAACCCTCATGCTCAAGAGAAACTGCAAAGCCTTGCCTTAGCAACCCCTGTAAAAACAATGGTGTGTGCAGGGATGGGTGGAACAGATATGTGTGTGATTGCTCTGGCACGGGGTACCTTGGCAGATCGTGCGAAAGAGGTAGGTTCTGTGACATGACTGCACTTCTACTTTTATATATTAAAAAAAACCCCACAGCCATAAAAAAAAAAAATCCTGTGCAATGATTAAAAATGGTAAACTGCCACTAAGTGTCCTGAGGCAAAGAAAGAATCCTTGATTTCTCTTGATTTGAGCTAGAGCCCTGCTCTAGACTCAAAGCAGTAATTCTGGAGGAAAGATCTTAGGGGAGACTCTAAGGTGCATTAGGGGGCTATGACAGAGTCAGTACTGCTGAATATCACCTAGAAAATGCCTCCTTTTGTGTCTCATCATACATTGCTGAGCTCTGAAAAAGCTTTGTGAAAGCAATTTTAAATATTATTGCATTGCTATGATGCTTTGGAGTGGCTATCTATAACAGAGGCTAGCCAAAGTTAAGAGAATAAAGTGAGTACGTGTTAAAGGCTTTCAATAGATACAACTTAGGCAGGGTAGAAGCCTCCCAGAGGCTACACCCAAGATGGGCGATGGTTGCAAGTTTTTCAGACAGATATAAGTTTTGTCCATATACATATCAGGGGTTAATCCTCTAATTGCTGCTTCAGGTAATGAAGTCATATACCCCCAGTGTGCACCCCTGCAGTTCACTTCTGTTTGTGCTTTTCAGGCCTGAGACTGGAGGGTGTCCTGGGGTTCCAGGCCCAGAGGAATTTTTTTGTCTGGCCAAAGTGTGAAGGGTAGTTAGCAATTTATATGAAATTTAGAGTTATGCACTAATGCAGCACAGGATTTGAAAAATATAAAGTCTAAATCTTAAAGCATCAGCTAAATTGTCACATTCCAGTTCCAAAATGAGGTCTTGTTCTCTGCCTATTTATTTCAATATATTCCTCTATAATTAAATTTATTTTTGAATTCCAGTGTCACTTAAATCCATGGCCAGAACTTCACTCATGAGTCAAAGCAGAAGAGTCAGTAGAAGTTAATATTTCTACTTATCTCTTTTTGAAAAAGATACAAGTACCCAAGGAAACTGAAGTTACCTAAAATCTGAGTACTCCTCTTGCCTAGAAAAGATAACAGTGAAATTTACCAACTCCATTTATTTAATTGAAAAGGTGGATAGTGGCAAGGAAGGCAGATGTTGAGGTTAGTTAATAGATAGAAAACCCTGTGATTTATTTAAAATTGCAGTGTGCTAATGAAAGATTCAATGAAAGCACACAAGGAGATAAAAATATTAGATATTTTTATTGTTTAATATCTAAGGTTTTTATTCTTATTCTTATTGGAATAGAAAGTGTTTCAATGCCAGGAGTTGTATTTTTTCATCTCACAGCTGACACAGTATTTTCTTTGGATTTGTCTTCAACCTGAAATCTAAACCTTAAGTTTATTGACTGAAAATGTAAGTTCTTTTCATCTAGTTTGATTCATTTTTCGAGTTTGTCAGATGAAACAAAAATGTTTCATCGCAAATTGAGAAATAAAACCCCCAATGAATGTCTTAAGTTGTATGTCAGTAGAGATGTGCATTTATGTAGTATGGACAACTACTATATCATCATTTTATCATCATTTATATTTTCATATATATTATTATCATCATGTTATCATCATTTGCAAGTAGATTCTCAGGTTCTTCAGTGGGGCTTCTCTGTCTCCCGTTCTGGCTGTTGATGCCCTGGCTCACGGCCAGCTGCGCTGAGCTCTCCAGGCTGCTGTTCCCGGTGGAGGCAGAGGGATAACGGAGCTGCCTGATGCATCCCCGCAGCCCTCGGTTAAACATGGCTGGTGTACCACCCTGTGGCCAAACTCTCCTATTACACAGGGGCTCGAGCCAAAACCGGGTTTGCGTTTTATTTCCACGGAAAAGCCAGGAAACATGTGCCGTAGAGACATAAACACATGCAGATCTGCAAAGAACTGAAAGCAGGCTTCATCACAGCAACTTCCCATACTCTCATTGGACAGGTGGTGATGTTTTATAAAGAAACCTTTGCCTTTTATTTCCCATGCCTTATTTTCAAGCATTGTCCAGCTTAATTCTTCATTTTCCCAGTGCATTCCCCTGGTGGGAATGGTGGTACTGGAGTGGTGGTGTTGGCACCTCCACAACAACATTTGTTTCTTGTCCAACAGAAAGATGTGTGGCATTTCAGCACTATGAGATCATTTCCTGCTCTTGGGTTTCCCTCTCCAGAGGGAACTGCACTGAAAGGAGATGTCTTCTCAGTAATACTCATATCCCAAGTGGTCATGCATTAATAAGATTATAGCTTTTGGGATGCTGAAAGCATCCTACCACACAAAGTTATTATAACTGCTACCCATGTGTAGGAACTGATAAACTTTTGTATTTGGTGGCATAAGCAGCACATTTACAACTATTCAAGCTAATTTAAATAAAAGGGGAACACACTTATTTCAGCAAACAATACAGATTCACTAAGAAAGCTTTAGAATAATATACTGGAGATTAAACAACTAGAATATTTAGCATTAAGTAATGAAGGTGTCTTAATTTTAAAAAAATGTGTGGAGTTACTTTTTATTTCCATTTAATTTTATTTTTCATATTCACCTGAAATAGGAGTGCTAACATCCATACATGGATGTTTCAGAACTTGAAATAATTTCAACTCATTAGTGCACAAAACTTCTGGAACACCACTGTGGTCTATTTTAGTTTGTGTATACTTAAAATTATATATATATATATATGCATACACAACACACGTATATATTTATAGCCACATCCATTTTATCCTGTTGCAAGTAATAGTTGATTTTATTATTGATTTTCAGTAAGGTTAATAATAATAACCAGCATAATTTGTAGATTTGCTTTAGTAGATTTTGAAAACTCTAGCAGATGGATGGACAGATGTCACAGCAATATAATTTGGTGTCCTCCCTTACTTTGTGGGTCACTGAGTGGGTGACTGCTTCTTGGCAAAGCCTTTTGCAGGTGTATTCTTTGACTGGATAGCCAGGAACAGTAGTGAAATCATCAAACAGGGATAAGAAAAAGTAAGCATGCAGACAAAGGTTATGAAGTTGACATTTCTGAAGAGAAAATCTGTTTAAAGTAGAGTGTGTGTGTAGATGTCCGTATTGTGTATGCACAGACCCCTACATACACATATACACATTAAAGAAATGCAGCTTTCATTCCTTGTGTTATACCTGGATGCTGTAAAATTTTAAATTAAGAATAGAGGTGGTATGAGGATAGATGGCATGAAGAATCAGGGGTTCTAAATATTATACTAATTCCATCACTGTCTTAAATTAATGGATTGGTCCTGTGTGTTAAAGTTGTGACAAACTTAGAGTGTGGCTTAGGACCTCAGCCCTGAAATAATACCAGTGTAGGAATCAGGAGGAATAATTTGAGCTTCTATTCACACATTATCCAGTAAATAATCACATATAGAGTATTGTTTCTATCAAATTGATGGAAATGTTCCCTATAAATCTCCAAGGCTGCAGCTTTGGGCCCAGGTGGACTGAAGAAGATACCATGTAGAAAACGCAAAACACCTGGGAAGAAAACAAAAAGTTCAAATTTGACTCAGTAGCAGCCAATATATTTGAATACTCACACAATTTCTAGGAGTAAAATCATATCTATCAGGAGCATTTTTAGGGCACAACATTGTTGTTCTACTTGCACTGGTAGATAAAACAATGATCAGAGAGCAAATCTGAATACTTGATTATTGATGATCCAGATTGCTCATACATATCCTGGTATGACTCTGGGCTGTATAGTCTGTCATTTCTGGGCAAAGTTTTTGTGAGGCTTAGTGACAGCAGACAAGAGAGGGTGATTTCATGCTTTAAAAGTGGCTCTGTGGGATGCAATACAGTCCTCATATTATTGCAGACACACTGAAACTGAAAAAGCAGAAAAAAAATTAATAATTCTTTCTTTGGGACTTCACAGGCACCACAAGGGGTCCAGAGGAAACAAGATCCTATTTTATTAAATTATGTGCAATAGGCATTTGTACTCACCAAGAATCATGTTTTTAAAACAACTCAAACTTGACTTCAAAGCATATGCGAAAGAACCCTGAAATCCAAGTGCCTAGTCCATACTTGTTTCAGTTTTATTTAAATAGGCTGTGAGTTGCAGAATGGCATCTATTCAGGAAATTCTACTTTACTCTAAAAATATCCAGTTGAGCATTTCTGAGGGTAGGAGCAGATGTAGGAAAGTTTCCAGAAGAGTTGGTGCCTCAGTCTCTTGAGCAATTTAGGTAATTCCAGCTCAAGTGGAAATTAAGGTCCTGAATCTCTTCTCATGTCAGTACTGATCTGTGCATCCTTGGCTTTAGACACAGAGATAATTGAGGTGGTGTGTGTGTGTGTATGTAGAAAAGAAGACTATCCAGCCATGAAGATTTTAATAAGAAACAAATTGAAGAAAAAAAAAAAATGAGAGGGGAACTGAACTCTTCTGTGGGGGTTGTTTTGGAGTTTGGTTCATTTGTGTGTTTTGCTTGGCTGGTTTTTAGCACAGGAGCTGGAAAAGTTTGAAGTGTCAGGTTTATAAAACTGTCAAAGAATGAATGTATAAAACACTTTTATATAAATATCTGTGCTATGTAATGCCATGTATTCCTTCATAACTCCACTGCATGTACTTATCTGCTGCCACCAAAAAAAAAGTTGTCAGTGATTATTTTATAAGGATTTTTTGGTGTTTTTTCTTTTCAGCACTATCATCCCAACAGTGAAGTGGTAGTAAAGCTATTACTCTTTTCCTTCTTTCTTTAAATGAATATCATATCCTGAGCTAAACTTTTAATCTATTACCTTTTGATCTAATAATTAAGAGAAAGCTGAACAAGAGAAAAAAGACATTCTGCCAACACTTATGTGAGAATATTTAGCAGTGTAGATTTCATGTAAAGATGAGACATCTAGGAATTAGTTGGCCCAAAGCAAAAAAAAAAAAAAAAATTGGCAAAAATACATATTTTTAACTGAATTGTTCCTTCAAGGTTTTTGAAATTGGTGCCTCTTGTCATTAAGGTCACCTTCTTACTGACTAGGCCTTGTAAATTAGCAATCCATTCCTGCCCATTTTGTGCTTGGTTCTGCTTTGTTTGTCGTTTGGGAGTTTTGGGGGTTGGTTTTGTTTGGTTTTTATTTGTTTCTTGTTTTACATTTGCCTTTGCGTTTTTGGCTTGTTTTGTTTCTGGCTTTAGTTTTGCTTGGTTGTTTTTGTTTGGTTTGGTTTTTTTTTGTTTGGTTTTTGTTTGGGTTTTTGGTTAGTTTTTGGGTTTTTTTCTTTTTTGTAGTTTGGAAAGGGTTTTGTTGGGTTTTGTTTTTTCTTTTTCCTTTTTCTCTCCCCAAATATATTTTCATATTTAGAAACCCTGTGCCTTGGAAAGGGCATATTGACATATTAAAAGGAGCTTGTTGACATGAGGGGGCTTCCTCATTGCCCAGAGCTTTTAAGTCATTTGATCTTCTGTTCAGCATCTTTGGTCTGTTCTTGGAACATCTGTTCCCAAAATGCTGGCACAGTATGGCTTTGGAGGATTAAGTATCTAATCACAATTGGTCTGCTCACCATGGTGTTACTCACAGGCCATCCCCAATTAAATTGTCTCCAATTAAGTTCCTTCTCTCCTTTTTCTGCAATTAAAAAAAAAACAAAAAAACAAAAAAAAACCAAAACAACTTGAATAACTAAAGGAAAGTTGGCAAAAAGTAGCAGCGCTGATTCTGACAGCTCTCTTTTTTACATTATCCTAAGATAATCTGTTAGCAAGAGAGCTTTAGCAGTGATGAATGTTGGGTTTACTCTGTATGTGAAAATACTGAATACTATTAATGTGGTGGATTTCTATAGAAAATTCAAAATATTTTTTATTTTCTGTTGCGTTACTATGTAACTTTAGGTTTTTTCCTGTAATTCCCTACCTAAATTATGTTTACCTTGATAAAAATCTTGGGAGATTTTTATGCACAGGGTAGACAGCTAGATATAGGAAGGAATTGAAAGCTCCTCTTCATGACTTCCCCCAAGAACTAATAAATAAACAAGGAAACCCACAAAAACCCAACCCCCAAACTAACAAATAAAAACCCCAAATCATCAAAAGCAAATCACCTTCCACTGGAAACTCTTTGACTTGAAATCACTTTTCAAATTGTTGCAAGTTAAATATTTAATCTACTTCACTGAACAATTTTAGATTCAAAATATGGTGAAAACATGATTACCTGCATAGTCAGAAATCATCAAACCAGTACATGCACTCTTATAACCTGTTACATCTAGGGACTTTCACAGCAGTCTCAGTAACCACTTTTTTTTCCCCACCATCAGACCCTTTTCTTCAAATTTGTATTGGGGGAATTTAAAACTCTTTGCACAAGAGAAGGTTGCCCAGAGAAGCTGTGGATGCCCCACCCCTGGAAATGTTCAAGGCCAGCTTGGGTTGGGCTTGGAGCAACCTGGTCTAGTGGGAAGTGTCCCTGCCCATGGCAGGGGACATGGGTGGAGCTGGGGTGATCTTTAAGGTTCCTCCTAACCCAAGCCGTTTTCTGATTGTTTTAATGAAAACATGATTTATCAATTTTGCCTCTCACAGAGTTAGTGGAACATTTTGTCCTTCTGTGGGTTGTGTAGGCTGGAAGTCTTGAAGAGCTTATCTGCCTTTAGCAGCATACAAGATATGCTCTGGGAACAATTTTGGCAAACACAGTTGTGATATTTACTTTAACATAGTATCAGTAGTATTAGTCATTGAAAATATTATTGCACGTTGACACCACAATAAACTTTTAGATAAGTGCCTCCATTACACTGAAGCAAATTGAAGCGTAGAGAAGCTTCTCATATGTGTTCTCTGCCCACAGTGTTTGATTGTCCAGCCAAAAAGAACTTACTAATACATTTCAGAAATGTTTCCTTTGCTTTCTAGGAACTGCAGTGCCTCCCTGTGAGCAGAAATGCAGTCTCTTTGCTACCTTTCTTGTTACCAGCCTGGAAGCTGGAAAAAGAAAGCTTGTGACTGGTTGCTCTGGGGTCTAACAGACTGTGACTGCTCTGTGCCAGAGCCTCTGGCCAGGAGGGTTTCCTGGAATGTCTGAAAGTGACAGTTCTTCACTTGTCTTGAGGGTTTTAAGATGTTACCCTCAATATGCCAATTCCAGTCTCAATCCTCCTGCTGAGGCTCTCATGGTGTTCATATTAGCATTTTTGAGTTCATACCATGGGTTTTGTAGTCATGGAACAATCTGTGCCCCATCCAAACTGTGCTGGGGACAGCCATGCATTTCAGGAGGATTTTTGCTCACTGTATGACAATTGCAACCCATGGTTGTGGCAATGCTAATAGTTTTATACATGAAGCATTCTAAGGTGATTATCTAGGGGAATGACAGGCATGGGCTTTTGTTATGCTGTTAAGATTACCTAAATATCTTTTACTGATTTGACCTAATTTGAGCAGTACAGGCCTGGTCTTTCAAGCATTGCCTTACAGGTGATTTTACTGATCTCACTGAAGGTTCACACGTGACTGACTGGGTCATTGAAGAACAATTTTGTTTGTTTAAAAAGCATCAAGATCATGTCACTTAAAAACAAAACAAATCAAAACAAACCCTAACAAAACCCTCAAACCTGACTTCCCTTGTGTCTCCCCATAATAATAATGAAAAGTAATATGTAGTTTTTCTACTACATATATACTGAATATACATTTGCCATCTTACCTTTAAGGAGTTTCAGTAGACAGAGCATTAACAACTGGTTTTCTCCTTTGTGTTTCCAGAGGCAACAATTTTAAGCTATGATGGAAGTATGTTTATGAAAATCCAGCTTCCTGTTGTGATGCACACAGAGGCAGAAGATGTTTCTTTAAGGTTCAGGTCCCAGCGAGCTTATGGCATTTTAATGGCGACGACTTCCAGGGAATCTGCAGATACCCTTCGGTTAGAGCTGGATGCAGGACGAGTTAAGCTAACGGTCAACCTAGGTAACAACCTTTTCCTCCAAGAAATTAACATTTTCTTTACATTTTTCTTTTTGCTTGCAAACATTTATGAAACAGCCTGTTTTAACATTAAAAGTAAACTGAGATGATATATAAGCACACATCAATTCGGCATTTGCATATGTACACAAATACACGACCATTGTTACAAGTTATTTTTGTTTTCTTTTGCATTTTTGTGTTCTTTATTTAGTCTTAACATTACCCATCACAATATTTTTGTACTGTTGTGTATTCTAAAAAAAGAAGACAAGTTCATCAGTGGTAATTTTTTGGTTTAATTGGTTTTTTTTTAATTGTGGAAGATTGGTCTCCCTCCACAATTTCTTCAGAATAGTAATTCCAGAATTTCAATGTGCAAGGAGAAACAAAATATATGTAGGTCAGCTCAATTTTACCTCCACCAATAATCTATGACATGCAAATATATCAAAGACTTTCTGGTTTTAACACTGAAAATGTTGCAGTTAGATATGCCCACTGATTGATTTCTTGGTCTCCTTTTTTTATGTGTCAAATCTATATTAAATCCATCTCCTCTTTTTTAAACAATTCTGTAGTGGTATTTTTGTAGTATCGAACGATAACACAACCCTTCAATGCCCAAAGACTGCGGCCCTCAGCAAACAGCCTTGTGAACACAGGAGGCACAAGCCCTTTTACAGAAAGAAAAAAAAAAAGAAAAATTGCTTTTATTGTTTAAAATATGATGAACAAAATGTCAGGTTATGATTCTCTCTAGTTTAAAAAAAAAAAAAACAGTAAGTAAAGAAATAAAAGCACTTCTGCCACGCTTAAGTGGCAGAGTGGCGTAAGAAGCTTCTGCCACACTTAAGTGGCATAAGTCCAAGTCAGGACCTGAAACAGAACAGGAGGAAAATGCCCATCCCATGCAGCTATTCCCATTCAGGGGAATGCTATTTTTAAAGGGATTGAAGTGTTTTTTTTGCTTTAGTCACAGATTTAGAAAGCACCAGTGGGGAGTGAGGGGTAAGATGCTATTTTTAAAGAGATGGAAGTGGTTTTTTTTGCTTTAGTCACAGATTTAGAAAGCACCAGTGGGGAGTGAGGGGTAAGAAAATAACCACCTTGACCCTGCACTTCATCCAAGTGTCGCTCACAGAAATGCTGCCCTGGTGTCTAGTGGTGAGGAGGAGGAGGAGGAGAAAAGGGTGTCACAGGTGACCCTTCCTTGCCTGTCCCCTCCTGCAGGGAGGCCATGGCGGGAGGCTCCGAGGCTTTCTGTAAAGGGGGTGTGCAGGTGCTGCTCCTCGGCTGTTTGCAACCACTTTTCTGATGCGGTTGACGACACATGGCAAACTCAGCTATATGGAAACAAAATCTAGGTTTGATGGTATATATGTTCCTCAAAGGTGTAAACCAGGAGTAGCCATACAAACCAAGTAGCATAGTGTAGGGTTTGACGTTTGTTTTTTTGGGGGTTTGTTTTTGTTTTTTGGGGGTTTTTTTTGTTGTTTTTTGTTTGTTTTTGTTTTGTTTGTTTGTTTTGGTTTGGTTTTTTTAAAGTAATAAATTAATGTAGGTAGCCCAGGAGAGGATCATGCACAAATCAGGTTAATCACTTTATGTAAAAAACATCATCCTCTGCCTACTTCTATAGTTCATGAAAGTCAACAAAAAGGAAATAAATCCATGCCCTAACAATATTGTTTCTTCCTCCAACACCCCTTTTTTTATTATTTCTCTCTTTTTTTTTTTTTTAAGTCAGGCAAGAAAATAATCTTAAAATAGAAAGGATTCTCTTTGTTTTCTAATTAGTGTTTATTAATACATGATTTATTTTTCTCTATATTAATATAACTTTCAAGTAGTCACTGTTCATTTCTAAAATCTAGACATTAAGGACATGTAAACCCACAACCCCTTATTTCTGGGCCTGGGTGATGAGCTCTGTGTGTCAGTCCTTAGCTTCTGAAGATGAGCCTTTGAGGTTATACTATCCACAAGTTGTCCAAGGTGTCTGATTGTGGCCTGGCCTGCTCTATGACCCATTGTGACGGAGCACTTTCTAATTGCACTGAGAGAAATTACCTGTTCTTTCACAGATGGGGAGAAAGTTGCAGCCTGCCTCAGTTAAGCATCTTTGACTTTTAATCCTGACTTTTCACTTAGATTTGTCACCATGTAGCTTTGTTTGAAATTGGCCATTTTTACCCTATTTGTCGTTTCTATTGGTAAAGACTTCTCGCAGTATATCTGGGTTATAACAGTATGTAAAGACTGATCATATGGAGTGGCCATATTTGCATGTGTCTGTCCCCGGAAGGGTGGACTGTGATTTTATTGGATGTCTGCAGCTATTACCTTGAAGGATAAATTTTCATTTTTCATCTATTCTTCCCCATCTAGACTGTATCAGGATTAACTGTAATTCCAGTAAGTGCCTATTCAAACTTTTTAAAATGTTATTCCACCATTGTAAAATATGCAAACTAGAATGAAAAAGATTGTGGACAGCTTGCAAGCATTTGATAATTTATTAATGAAATGTGATGATTAATTATCATTGTGTAAAAAGTCATCATATATTTTAACACTTGCTTTTTGTCCTTCACATAGGACATAATATTAACTAGAATATTAAAAAGGAAGCGTTCTACAGGTTGTAAACAAGCCTAGAGGAAATGGTGCCTGTAGTACTGTGTTATTCTAGATAGGCTATTTTATATTTACAGTGGCCATGGAATTTTTGAACTAGCATTTCTGATAAGCTGTTACACTTTATTTTCCCACGTCCTCCTTCTAATTTTCCTGACATTTTGCCTTCAACTTGTCGTTGGATTGTTGGAACGCAATAGTTTTTACTACAAAAATTTCTATTTTACAATTCCTCTAGGAAATTACCTGTATTTACTGGCTGGTTATAGCACGATTTGGTTTTGCTAAATCTTCAATATATGGAAATGTGATACATTGCAATAAGGGCATTATTAAGTCTGAGAATGACTGTATTTCTATGATGATTTTTTACACTCTAATTATGTTAAAAATCCTTGAATTGAACAATTTTTCTCTGTGATATGCATGTTTATGAAACAGAGGGAAACATTTGCCAGATGAATGGACTAAATTTTAACTTCTGATATTATTTGGATTAAGAGGCTATATTCTGAAAGGAGAAAAAGGACTGTGATTTTATTTTGAGTCTATGGAATTCCTGAATGGTGTCAACAAAATTATTGATAGTAAGTATGGTAGATTTGAGTTTTGGGTTGTTTTTCTTTTTCCCTTCCTAACAGGTTTTGCAGGCCAGAGGACTGGCTTTACAAAAATAGAAAAAAAAGCTAAACAACAAACTGCACAGGTTTAATCTGTAGTTGGTAAGAGTTAAAATATATTAACAAAACATTCCTTAATAGTTTTATAACCCATAAAGAAAAACAAGAGTCTGAACTTATTCTTAAAGCGTCATTTGCTAATAGATTTTTAATTAATAATTTTTACAAGGAAAAAATACAGCATTGGTATTAAAAAGCAGACAAATTTCCTGAGACAAGTCTGTAATTTAACCTGTTCTTAAATTCAGAGAGGCTTCAATGCAATAACGGAAATGCTTGTAATCACCAAGGCATAAAGATATTGTCCTCATATTAAAAAGAAAATAATAAGAAAGTAAAAAATTCTCACTTGCTAAAATATATAAAATTATGAAAAATCTCAGAAACATTTTCTTGATCTGCCACAGGACACTATTGTTTTCTACTAATGAAATCTCAGAAGAAACAAGTGTAAGATAAGCAGCTTTTTGGGGCAGATCTGTAATGAGGCTGCCTGCCTTTGGTAAATTCCTTCTTTTCCTAGGAAAAGCAATATTGCTTTTTTCTTAGCTTCCTTAATAAAATCAGAAAATCCATCTGAAAACAGAGTTACTAAAATAAGGAAACCACCCAGAAATGAAGCCACAATATTACAGGTGTTTTCATTTTTTAGTCTCTTTTGGATTAAATGACATGTCGAAGATAAATTTAAATGGTTTCTAGGTTTCGTTTTTAAGCAAGGCTTGGATCAAAAGAGAATCTGCAAACACAAATAAGCTTCCAGTTAGAGGATTGCAAAGAGGAGCAATGTATCTGCTGGATTGGATTAGCACTTACAAATTCTTGGGCTCATACAGAAGCAACATAACCTCTCTACAAAATATCCTTGGTATAAAATACTTATAAGTTATTTTTCTTCACAGTTTGTTTATAGTGTTTTTGTTGTTATAAATGAACTTGGGTGATTATTTCCATCTCCCTGTGGTGCTTGTGTGTACTCAGCAGGGTTTTGTGAGCTTTCGGTATGGTAAGTACTACAATGCTTTCTTGTCTGCACTGGAGATTTTCAGCAACCAGATGTTTCACGAGCAATTTCTATATCCTAATTTTTAGATTATGGAAAATTATTGGTCTAAGTAGTCCTTAAAAATGCTTATTAGAAAATACAATGAGGTTTAGTGGGACACGATTTGTTTCAAAGCAACAGCATCCAGATCTGGAGTATTAAGTTGCTAAACACTGTGATAGTTGAGTGCTGCCCTTCTTTCTGCTGAGAGCTGGATATGTATCAATCCTGATTTTAGGTTGATAGTAAATCTGGTTTTCATGTTTGAAAAACTTTTTTTTCCATTTCCTATTTCTGTTACGTAGAAATTAGTCCTGTTAATATAATCTCAGTGCTGGGACTGAGAGTTATATGTCATAACTAGACTAGTAAAGAGTTAATGTCAGGATGAAGGTATCTGGTTTGAATTTGGAGAGACAATTAAAAAAAAAATCCAAAAACTTCAGCTGAACATCAGCAGGCTTGAGAGAAGAAAAAGGAAAACGTGAATGTAAAGAATGTCAACACCTTCTCCTGCTGTGAACTGTAAACCCAGGGGATAAAATAGTGCACTTCTTCCTCCTCTCACTTTCTCCTGAAGCCTGTCTTCTGCTCACTGCAGATTAAATGAATAAGTGTTGGCTGACAGAGCTAAGATT